TGAGCTGTTTAATGGCCTTTGAGGGCCCAAAAACGTTTCAGAGAGGATATATACAAAAAAACATGTCCTCAACAAGTCTCAAGATCATAGTGTCATGTGTTCCAAGGTGTTGAATGAAATGCCTGAATCTAATTTAATCTAATATCAATGAAATGAGTTTTGATCACGTTGTGATAGCTTTTGGCAAAGTTTTCAATTATTGGCCAGCCTTAGGATTTAATGTGGATTAGTATCCCACACGGAGTAATCCTGTACTGTTCACTATAAATTTTAAGGTTATAGTGTCAAAAGATTTTACGCATTATACTACTCATGTTATAAACAGTTTACTTTATGAGTAGATAATAACAAAATATACACCTTATATTAATTTGATATGCGGCAGTTGAATCTTGGGCAAACTATGCATTATTATGTATTATACATTTTTTTTAACAACTATTGTGTATTATACATACGTATCAATTTTATGTTGGATTAATTTCTACCTTCAAATTTTTCTTGCTATCCTTTGTGTACCTCAATAAAAAGGTATTTAAATTGATCTATCTATAGACAAAAATAAAATCTATTTATAGTGTTGGACATTTGTACTAAGCCTGAGCCAGATTTGTGTTTTTGTGACGGGGCATCTACCATAACCATTGTGTTTCTTCGTTGGGCCGATTTAACTGGGCTCAATATAGTAAAGAGCCTAAAGGCCTACTCAAACTTTAGTTTTGCATACATAAGAAATCACTCTCATAAAATCTTCTAGTCATCTAATCCAATTTTTCGGACAGGGGAGTTGTATCGATTGCTTCTTCTCCTCCAGCAAAAGAGATTTACAGGCTTGGCCCTTTAAGCCCTTGAAGTTTGTTTGATGGTCAATTTGGATCGGGCTTGATCCATCTCTTGTGGTGGGTTGCTGTTGCTATTTGGTAAAAAAATACTTCATTATCTCATGAGTTGAGGAAAATTTCTTCTAAGGAAGAGAGCTTTATCCTCTCCTCAATTGTTGAATTAGGCTTTTGCTCTATCCGCTGAGAATCTTTTCTATGTGGTGCTCATTTGCTCTTTTTGCCTCAGTCTACCAATCTCTGACTTTATTGCCAAGTCTCCTGCTTCTGCCATCCTAAGTTCTAACCATCTAGAGCTTTTACTCATACTCCTCGCCAACGAAAGGACAATAGGACAATTTGTTCCCGTTGATTTCACTCTCATCTTAATTTTTTGTTGTATCTGTTTGGGTCTAGCCCACAACATTTCTGTGACAAGTCCCATGCATAAACCGATTTCATCAATAAAGCTTGATAACATGGTAATAAATATCTCCAGTTTGGTGAGACATATTTTAACAATTTTCTCCTCTATAGAGTGTATTTTCAAAAGCTCAGTCTATTTAACATTTTGATCTAACAGTGCCGTTTGCTTGCTTTCATTAGCTGAATAATGGAAAATTGACTCAATCGATATTAAAGTCCTTTCTAAGAAGTTGTTGGTTTGTATCTCTAATAAAACCGTTTAATATATCCATACGGCTTTGCTGTGAATCTTATCATGACGCATCTTAGTCTTTTTTGGATTTGCTGTTTGAACTTTTATGTTGCTTCTGTTGTCTTAGTTCCTAACACTCTTCCATTTCTGTTATCTGCTTCGTTGTAGTTTACAAAGTTAAGATTAATGAAAAAACTTGTTGAACAAAAAAAATCTTCTAGTCAAAGAGTTACTCATTATCTCATTTTATGGTTACTGATAATATTGAATATTTAGTTTCTATCACTAGTGGGTTATATGATAAGTCATCTAAATAATATATTACTGGAAATTTTGTTTAAAACCAAATTCACTACTTTTTTGTTGTTAAAAATTAGATTAGTTTATTTAAAACTGTTAGATTTTTTTGCAATCTAAATTTCGTTAAATTAGCTCTTTTATGTCTATGAGATCCTTATATTTTAAACCCCTAACAAAACTATAACCGATAGTCATCGCCGAACAAATCAAATTATAACCGGAAGGAAGAATAATAACTCATCAAAACTAACACAGACTCAGATTTTCTTTGACCCTAACCCCAAATTTTAAACAATGAAAGATAAAAGACATGCAACATTAAAAAGGTAAAAGTTTAACAAAACTTTAGATCAATTAAATTTCGTTAACTTAGCTCTTGTGTCATCACGTACCTCAGAGCATCTGGTTATGAGTTTATAGCATAAGATTGTAGAAGAGTCCGATGAATTGGGTGGAAGGTTTTGATTTGACATTAAACATGATCAGTAAGAAAAAGCATTGAAAGAGGAATTTTTCCCTACACCAGCGTGCCACTTTGGTTCAGACATTTGGTCAAAGGGACCATGTTACATGTATACATGTTTGGACGAAGGCTCGATTGCTTTAACAAAATTTAACAAAACTTTAGACCGAAACAAAAGTTTTATCCTCACTCAAAGTGAAGAACTCTTAAAAGAAGAAAAGAGACAAACCCGAACCAAAAAAAAACAGGAGTTTAAACAAGAAAAATAACACTCTTCTAAAAAAAAATCTAAATAAATAAGAAAAGTTCATAAAACAGGTCAACAACTTCCCAGTCAAAAATTATTTTGTGTTGGGGTCATTTTAGTTAGGGAGGTTATTGGGAGAGAAATTTATGTAGATTTTGAAAATTTTGATATTTCATCATTATTGGTTTACTGATTTTTAAAATTTTACTAGAATCCATTGTTATTGGTTTAAAGATTTTAAAATTTCATCCAAAATCCTTTATTATTCAAAAAGTTTGGCTTTTAAAGATTTTATGATTCTATCAAAATCTTTTGTTATTGGATTATGGATTTTAAACAATTTAACTCATAGAACAAGATTTTGGAAGACTTTCAAAATATTACATATATGGCTTAGATTCTCAAAGTCATTATAATAAAATATTTTCATAGATTTTCTACATAAACAAATTCTTTCCAAATTTAACAAATCCCTCAACTCTTCAATCACAAAATAGACTTTTCAAAATTTATTGGGGCAGCTGATCCCAATAATCAAAGTATCTTCACACTGTAATACCATCATTTTCCACCATTATCGCTACAAATTATTAGAAAATGTCTCGTTGTTATTCTTTTTTTTGAATGGAGATGTTAAATTAATCCAATCAAAGCCAGTTTTACAATGAATGCAATTTTAGTCTGAATCTATTGTAAAGAGATATAAAAGCCATTTACAAACTGAAAATTTAGGATTGGAATGAAAACCATGTTTCCATTCCTGTTTCGTACTATATATAGAAATATTATACTTTTATGTCACTAATCGAATCTAATAAACTTTTTAAAGTATGTTCTCTATTGTATACTTTTAATCTATGAACGTAAAACAAAACAAAAAAATTAATCTATTGTATACAGTTAATGTAAATTTGACTTGAAGTTAATACATTAAGAATTGTCGTAAAAGATAATTACTAGTTTTTCCTAATTTTAAATCAGTTGTAGTATTTAGACTTCAGAAGGAGTACATATGTTCTTGTGTTTTACATAACTGATTTGTAAAACAAAAACTTTTAAATAATTTGAAAAACAAATACTTTTCGATAGTTTGAATTGTTTGTGGAGGAGTAGTAAGGTAACTTCAAAAGGAGTACATATGTTCTTTTCTTGAATATCAACACTTTGTTAGCAATGAAAAGTTGGCATTTTAAAATATATTTTAAAAACTCCATCGAACAAAAATGAATTTGGATCATTTTGAGTGATTTTAACCTCAAATTGTCAAATCTTTTTCGTGTATCATATTATTTTTGTGGAGTTCTAAAACACAAAAAGATTTTGATTTTCGTTATACAAATGTGTGATCTTTTATATTTTCAAAATTTATTATTATTTACTATATTAAAATATTGTTATATTTATTTTAAAATAGATAAATAAATTCAATAAAAAGCATAGCTTATTAGATATAATACTATAACTTTTTACTCATCGATTATTTCTGCTATTTTTATAATATCAACTTTTGGAGTTATCATTTAACTACTTAAATTAAGGTTGCTAATTACCTAATTCACTAGTATCTTTTTCTTTAGATTAATTATCCGAAAACAATAAAGAAGATGGTGGCAGCTTTTATTCATGATCCGTGATTGAGTGCAGAGACAATTTATAATAATACTTCTTTGTCGTAATTAATAATGACAAAAATTACAACTTATAATAATCATTATTTCACTATTTAGTCAACTCCCTGGCTTCCCTACCACCGCACGTTCGTCTCTCTGTCCACTCATTGACTCCCTCTCCACCTTTTTCTCTGCTATCGTGCGCCTAAAACTGTCAAATTCTATTGTGCTAACTTACTTTCCGCCTCATCTCGTTAACGTGCGCCGTCCTTTATTATCATTACCCTATTATTTTCCAAATCATTTCGAAGATTATTTCACTTTGCCAACTTGCTAATGTATTTTTCATTTTTTTGTTGTTGTCCTTATCACAAATTGTCAATGACATCACACTTTTTTCCTCCGTCAAATACAAATTTCTTGTATTTCTTTTTTGCAAATACACATTTTATATTTTGGAATTAATTTTTCTTTATCGCCAAAGTCAACTAACTTTACATTAGAAGTTAACAAATTTGAAGTATATTTTTTTTGTCAACTGATTTAAAAATTACAACCATACATATAAACAAACAAAAACTGGAAATTAACGTTGACAAACAAAAAAAAAACTGTAATTAAACGTCTATCAAATTTACCACACCAAGAACCAAAAATGCCTTTTGTCATTGCATAATACACGTGGCAGCTGGATTTATGTTAAAATAAGTCATCGGTGGGCCCGGCCCAATGGAAACAGTTAGAATAAGATGCCAAATAGTCAGAGTCAGAACACAGAAAAGGAAGAGCTGATATATAAAACGTCATCGTTTAAAAGACCGAATCCAATTCCATGTATATATATATAATGTAAAAGATATACGTGTGCCTTTGTTTGAAAGAAAGCGCACACACACACAAACACATGTTCTTCGTTGCAGCTTCGTTGGGTTAAAAACTTTTCTCCTGCTTTTGGGAAGTCAAAGATAGGGGAAAAAAATTAAAAAAAAATCCAAGGTTTGTTCTGTAGTTCGATTCTTGATTTTCGTTTTTTGTTTCCCAGATCTGTACGTTTTAGATTTGTTCTATGTGTTCACAAGTGTTCTGGTTCTTTCTTAACATTCATACCAAAAAAGTGTTCTGGTTCTTGAAATTGGCGAGCTTTGATTATATAATTCTGGACCCTTTTTTTTTTTTTGTTCTTTGGATTTGAAAATCGATCTAAAGTGTGGAGTTGCAACATTTCTGGATGTTTCCTGCGTTGATTAGTGAATAGAAATTAAACAAGATTGCTTGTAGTTTGTTTTCTTTGATCCTAATGTAGAATCTGTCAAAATTCTGTGATCTGCTATAGAAAATCGAAATCTTGGTTCTATTTTTTTTGTTTTTTTTTTAATTCCTAATCTTGATTATTGCAGTAATATAAAAAACATTTCTGGATTTGCAAAATAGGAAAAAGAAGATAGTACTGTAGTAAAACAAACTGTAGTTATAAGTAGATATGCGGATAAATCTTGTAATATTCATAAACTCCTGTTAAATAACGGTATTAATGTATTAAGTGGTAATTGCAGAAACAAATGGAGAATCTACCTCCTGGTTATCGTCCAAATGTTGGTGTTTGTCTAATTAACTCGGATAATCTGGTAAAACATTTTCTTCATTTAATTAAGTTTTCTGATTAATTACTAATCTGCCACTGGTAATAATACTGAGTTTCTATGAACCATAATCATAATTCACAGGTATTTGTAGCTTCGAGATTGAATGTTCCTGGAGCATGGCAGATGCCACAGGTGCGTGTGTTAATCACTCACTTCAATATGTTCACTCTCTTTCTTTCTCTCTTTCATTGCCCACAAAGCTGATGCTTTTTGTCCGTTGTGTTTATACATTCTAATGTAAGAAAATTGGTAATCTATATACTCATGATGATTTTGATAAGGAATCTTGAGTGAAGATGTTCGTAGAGAGTCTGTTTTTTCTCTGTTTTGCGGGTATCTTAAAACCCTTTTATGCTCTCAATTTTAACACCATTTACTAAACCGTGGATATTACAGGGAGGAATTGAAGATGGAGAGGATCCAAAGTCAGCAGCCATGAGAGAGCTACAAGAAGAAACTGGGGTCGTTTCAGCTGAGATCGTCTCTGAGGTATTTAAGCACTTGATCCAATACTTAAACCGATATTAGTCAGAGGATTTAACTTTTACCAACTAATCTCTCTGGTTATTCGACGTTTAAACAGGTTCCGAATTGGCTGACATATGATTTCCCACCCGCAGTAAAAGCAAAAGTTAACCGTCTTTGGGGTGGTGAATGGCATGGTCAAGCCCAAAAATGGCAAGTCTTCTTCATTTTTTTTGCAATCTGAACACAAGAAGTGAATGAGTGGCTCATTGTTCTGAAAACCTAACGTATCCACAGGTTTCTAGTGAGACTGAGAAACGATGAGGACGAGAGAGAGATCAATCTTGCGAACAACGAAGCGGATTCAGAGTTTGCCGAGTGGAAATGGGCTAAACCGGAAGAAGTGGTAGAGCAGGCGGTGGATTACAAAAGGCCAACCTACGAAGAAGTCATCAAGACTTTTGGTTCCTACTTGAACGATACAGGAAGAGCTGCGAAATGTAAATCAGCCAAGTGGTAATAAGAAACCAAGAATCAGTGTTTGTCTTTTTGCTTTTTGTAAACTGTTTTTTTTTTTTTTTTTTTTTTTTCTCTCTTCTTTTGGGGGGGTTCTTGTTAGTGGAATCCTTTTGGAATGCAAAAGGTTCTTCTTCTCTCTAGGTTTTTTATTTTCTTTTGGTGTTCATTTTTGTAAATTGGTTATTGGTACTAGAAGGTTTTGGTTTTGGTTTAACAAGGGGTTATTGTAATAAAGTCTTTGTTTGGATTCAGAAAGAAATGAATTGTGCCAGTGTTGTTAACCAAGTGTAAAGAAATTTTGTATTATTGAAAGTTACTGTAATAGTACCATAAAATATAAATGATCAAACCTAAAAAGATTTTATTACGAATACATTTTAAAAAGAACCTAGAGCAAGATGAGTTTAGTGGCTGATGGTAATGAAAAATGAAAAAAGGTTAAAAATACAAATGTGGGAGATAAGTTAACAAACAAAACATGAGTTTCAAAACCATATTCCAAGACACAACAAAGTGATACAAACTTTAACAAAACCAAACAACTTTAAGACAAATTCTTTTAAAGTACTAAGCTAAATAGAAAGAAACTGGAAAGGTAAATGGTAAATAACGGTCCAACGGATAAATATGAATTCACTGGCAAAGCTGCTCGACGGCAGTCACAATCTGAGCCGGTTGAACCACGGTCCACTCTTCCAGTGTACCGGCATAAGGTGTAGGGACGTCCTGAGAAGACAAACACATAACCGGAGCATCTAAATAGTCATGAAAGTTCTCGTTAATGGCAGCAGTAAGACTAGCCCCAATCCCACCGGTTCTCATACACTCCTCAACGATCAAAACCCGGTGCGTTTTCTTAACCGAGTTCCCGATCGTGTAAAGATCGAACGGTTTCAGCGACCTGATGTCGATAACCTCGGGATCATACCCTTTGTTCACAAGAGTTTTAGCTGCCTGCATCACATGGTACCTCATCCTCGAGTAAGTGAGGATCGTGATGTGCTCTCCAGGTCTAACCATCTCAGCTTCTTCCAGATTACAGATGTACTCTTCGTCAGGGATCTTCTCCTTGAGATTGTAAAGCAGAACGTGTTCGAAGAGAATCACTGGGTTCTCGCTTCTTATCGCGGCTTTCATCAAACCTTTAGCGTTGTAAGGAGTCGAGCAAGCAACCATCTGGATCCCTGGGATGGACTGGAAGTAAGATTCTAGCCGCTGCGAATGCTCGGCGCCGAGCTGGCGTCCGACTCCACCGGGTCCACGGATGACAACAGGGATCGTGAACTGACCACCAGATGTGTAGTGAAGCATTCCACAGTTGTTGGAGATTTGGTTGAAGGCTAGGAGGAGGAAACCCATGTTCATACCTTCGATGACGGGTCTTAGACCAGTCATGGCGGCTCCGATGCCCATACCGGTGAATGCGTTTTCACAAATGGGAGTGTCGAGAACCCTGAGGTCGCCGAATTTATCAGCAAGGCCCTTGGTTACTTTGTAGGAGCCTCCATAGTGTCCTACGTCTTCACCCATAACACATACGTGTGGATCTCTGTCCATCTCTTCTTCCAGACCTTCCTGAAGAGCCTCGTAAAGCAGTAGTTCATGCCTGCAAGTTCAAAAAGAGTAAAAATGAGTTATACTTTGTGTTGTGATGGTAATGGCATCAAGACTACATTGATTTAATATGAGCATGGAAGTTTAAAGATAGAGAAAGAAATGTGTTATTTGTGAAAAATGAAAACAGCACAAATCCTTAACTGAAACCATAACGATATCAAAACAAGAAAAAAGCACATAATTGATGCATAATTAGATAGAAAGTCGCATGAATTTGTGTATGTAGCACAAAGGCTAATCAATTGCAAGAAATCCGGAAAATATTTTTTCTGCAACAAACTGAAATGTTCTTGGGAGATTAGCATGTGTCCATGGGAAGCAACTAAATCGTTTAACCTAACAAATACATGCAACACAGTTTGCAATCAGTATCAATTATCGGTTTAAACAAAGATCTTAGTTTACTTTTTAACTGGCAAGGATCATACATCACCACACCGCAAAAGAACAGCACATAGTTAAAACTTGCTCCTCTCTAAGCAACTTTGAATCCCATTAACGTGTAGTAAACATAATGCAACAATCTAATCACTTAGAAGTAATTGCAATCTATGTTTGTAAACAAACAAGGCAGAGGAAAGGCATTTGTATAGCAAATACATGAAAGATCTAAATCCCTTTAATCAGCATGCCATGCTTATGTGCAATAGCATCAAAATCCAATTTGCAAATCATAAATGTGCAAAAACATACCCAGTGCCAGTGGTCACAGATGTGTCCGCCTTTGTCTACAAAAAGAACAAAGAAACGAAAAGAAAAAATTGAATCATTCGCAGATTCAAAGGACGAGACGCAGAAACCCTATATACAATAATCGGAGACAAACGCATACCGCAACAGCATTTGCAATCAATTTCTGAGAGTGACGAACTCTGAGGCCAGAACCAAAGCTCTTACTCGCATCAGATCCGGCAACAATGTATCTCTTGCTCCTCGCTGCATCAAAAAAATCAAACAACGAAGCTGGTGAGATCTCGCAAATCCATCACCAGGAATCAAGCAATTTAATCGCCAGGAAGATATAAACGCAAATTCGAACGGCTTCCGCCAAATTCGAACTCGAAATCGAAATCGAACCTGGGAGATTTGTGCGAGAAGGAGCAGCGAGTTTCTTGGAATCGACGGGATTAAACGTCGACAAGGCCGTCGCAGCTCCAGCTCCACGGATAATCGCAGACATTTTCCACAGAGCTCGGGACTATATTGAATGATTTTGGAGAGTTATGTATATATATAGCTATACAATCACAAGTGTATAGACAAAAATGGCGATATACAGAGAGTAGTGACTAGCGGAGAAATCGAAGAATTTAGAAAAAGCTTTGAAATTATGAAATCGAATTTTCTTTTGATTTTTATTATTTTTTTTTTTTTCCGAATTGTCATGTCTATTGTGCGATCAAATCCACATGTTTACATTGTTTTCATCGCCAGGCGGTACTATTGATCTTCTGTTGCCTCACTGTAGCGTACAAACCAATAGTAATACGACACGTGTTAGTTCTTGGCCAGTATTACACGTGTGTGTATCTGATTTGTTGGTATATTTTAATCAATGAACCAGCTGTGTAGAGTAAAAAGACTGGGTTCGATAAACCACCCGTACCAACCGAAATACATTACCCAAACTTTGAGATTTCATTGATTTGAGAGAATTTGGGCTTCAATTGTATAAGCCCAGTAACAATACAATTTGATTAGGGGCCTTATTTCGTTTACAGTCTGCGAATGATAATTGAATGTTCCTCTTTGGTGAGCGTGAACAAAATGGATAGACAGATGAAAGGTGATGGTCTTGTTGTAGATTTCGTTGATCTTTTGCGATATATGTATGAATTATAAAACAACACGAATCAAACCATATCTTTTAAATTAACAATCAACTTACATATACTGTATATATTATATATTATATATAATTGTTGTTGTTGTCAACGTTGATTTTTGATTAGTTTAACGAGATTTGAAGGATCGACAATAGATTATTTGAATAATAATGATATAAACGAGTTCGCCAAACAAAAACAAGAGATAATTAAAAATATATTTTATGAAACTATAATTAAAAAAAAACACTATGTGCAATATGAATATTTTTAATATGAAAAAGTCTACTTTATCTTTGAAATGATTTTTTTTTTTAAATTTTAATTTTTTTCTTTCTTTCATCCTACAACAAATTTCAAAAATTATGTTATTACAGATAATACGATCATAATTCTGTTGATGAACAGATATATTATGGATGATTGATAGTAGATTGGGTAGTAACATAGTTTTCTGGATGATTTATGGTAGATAGAATTATCATACACTTCTTTAATGATCTTTTCATTTTTATTTATCCATATCTATTACACATTCATTTTCTCTACCTACAATATCATATCCACTATTTAGCAATCCACATCAAAACCCACTATCACAACATCCATAATCAAAGCAAAATACAAATCACTACAACTCCATGTACCAGCCATCATCTACACCACTATGTCCACATATCTTTAGTCATAAGCATCTAAAACTGAAATTAGTTATTCACATCTATTTATCTACATTGTCTCATTCTAACTATTCACATATTAGCATCCACGATATATTTTTGCATCTGGAAACAAATCAGTCAATTTTACATACTTCATATTCACCCATCTATGAACATGTCCATGTAAATAGTTTAGGCATGATAAGAAAAAAACATTTGGATATGTGCAGGGGCGGATCTACATGGTGATGGGTGGGGCACGTGTCCCATACTAATTGCATAGATTTCCTAATGAACAACTACTACATCTTATATGTTAGATTAGTTGGTTTTGGATAATAACATTTGAAGTTTTTTTAAAAAAAGTTTTATTGTATTTTTTATGTTTTCTTTATTTATTTAATTTTCATGTAAACCATTCTCATGTATTTTTTCAACTTCTTCTATCCTTTTATTGTTTTTTATTACATTTTATATCTTTTTCATTTCTTTTATATTTTTAATATATATATTGTTATTTCTCTTTCTTTGAATTTTAATAAACTAGTTTTTTCTTATTTATTTTTTTACAGTTATATACCTAAACAAATAACTAAAGACACTAAATTTTATTAGATATTTATCAAATAGTTTATAGTCTAGCCATTTTATTATTATTTATATACTTTTTTAAAGGAGTTATATAGTTTTTATATGTGAAAATATCTAAAAATCGATGAAAATAATTTTGTTTATCAGTATATTTTTTTAAAACTTAAAGTTCAAAATTTATTATAAAATATCATTTTCAATAAAAAATTTATAATTGTAATTTTTTATTATAATATTTTTTATGCTTCATATAAATAATTTTTCTGCGTCCGTCCCTGGATATGTGTAGATGGATATGATTGGTCGGATGGTTAGAAAGGTGCGAAAGTTCACATATACACCTCCAAAATAAATAACGCAAGTTCAAAATGTTAGGAAAGAACTATGAGGCATCATTAATTCCATACATTCTAACCATTCATTCATACTTGTCCAAATGGAGGGATAAACATGGATATATATATCCGCATATTAACACCATCCATCATGAATTTTAGAGAGATTTGGATGGATTCAAAAATTCTATTTAGCTACTCGTTATCCACTATATATTATTTGAGAAGTAACATTATTGAAAATAGCTTACTTGTCAACACTACAGCCTAAGTTAGTGTTTTTAATTGATGACATGTAAATGTGACATGTCAAACTTCTTAAAATAAATGAAATGTTTTGATTGGTTGAATTAAAATTATAGAAACTATGAAATTAAAACATAAATAAACTAGATTATATTTATAACACTAAAATTAACAAATTTAAATTAACAGGAAATAAAATTTATTAAAATTTCAATTTTTTACATATATTCATAATTTCATAAAATATAATTACGAAAAAATTTAAACAATATATATATATATATATATTATAATTTCATATAAAACGAAAAAATAATACTAAATTACCCAATAGAATAATAAAAATTCAAAAGTATGATATATTTTTATTTTGGAAAATTATTAACTTACAAAATAGATTAATAACATCTAAACAAGTTTTAATAAACAAATTAAAAGAATAAAATGTTAAAAATAATAAAAATATTATTGATTTAAAAAACATAATTTTAAATAATTTTTCTTTTCAAACCAATATTTACTAAATGAATAAAGTATATACTAATTATTATTATATAATATTAATAGGACCATATATTTTTCTATAACTTTATCATCTTTTTATTGTTGTTTTCTAAAATGTACATAACTTATGTTACCATCTCTTCTTATCTCTTATCATATTTTAAATAAAAATAAATTTTATATCATATATATACATATATATTTTCATTGTATATCAAAATTTTGAGAACATAAATAAAAAAAAAAATAACCGAACGAAAGAATAAATTATAATAAAATGAAACAATATGAATAAGAAATAAAAATAGAAGTGTGTAAAAATAAATCTCTCGCACTTTGTTTTACAAAGTCACTTAAAAACTTTTTAACACCTAAGAGCCATATTTCAATTTTTTTACAAATACGCGTACAATAAATATTAATTCTATATTATTTGAAGTCACATGCGAACTTTTCCGTGCATGTATTTTGTTAAGATTGATTACAGACTAATTTTTATTTTAATTATTCTAAAATTTATATTTTATAAAAAAATATTTATCTATTCTGAGTGTAGTGAAGTGGCTGGTATATCCGCACATGCGTGCCAAGCATCTATCCGCTCTTAAGAATAAGTAAAAATGGTAAAAACTATTTCATTTTGATTTGTAATAAATCAAGAAAAATATATACTTAAAATATATTATATATGTATTTGCAAATTCATATTATGTAAGACACAAAAAGCATATTGTAGATTGTGTAAGGAGAAATAAAGCATATTATAGAAATATTCAAAAAATATTATAAAAATTTATTTATTATTTAACATAACTTTTATATTTGTGATTATATATTATTACAAGCATTATAAAAATAAAGTTTTTTAAATACATTGGTTTCAAAAAGAAGTTTGTGAAATATTAAAACAATATATATACAAACATACCAATGTTTAAAAAAACTGTTGGATATTTAAATATTACAATTAACTATGTATATAAAAAAATTATACTCGCACATATGTGCGGACAACCACCTAGTATCATATTATCAACATAGCTAATTCAACGTTTACCCATCCATAAAATCATAGACTATATTAAAGATGTGCATACATCCACAAAGTTACTCCAAAATTTATATATCTATGATCATACATTTAATCATATATATCCATTCATCTTTAATTTATGATTTTATTATTTTTAAATAAACGCAGTTAGAATCTATAACTATTTTTGAATAATATACATTAATAATGAACATCCATAATTATGTAACATCTATGATTTATAGTCTATTAAATTTCATGTCTAAAATTAAAAATATATGAATCATATAATCTCATGTATCCACGTAGACTGTTCAAATTTCTTTACTTACAAAGCTTTATGTATTTAATTGATTTTATTAAGAAAAAAAAAATTTCATAGTTTAATATTCATAAAGAGACAAAAATTTCATAGTTGGAATAATAAATAGGTAAAAATGAAGAAATGTGAGAAAAAAATAATATTTTAATTAAAAAGGGCTTTTTTGTTCTATAACCATATTTGAAAAATAATCAAAGAATATAGTTATAAAATTCAAATAATATGCAAACTAATCATGGCCTACATAAAAATTAGTAAAATCGCTTTCTTATTCACGTGAAAATATCATAGAAACACATGTTATCCATATTTTCTTCTGAACTATATTATAATATATGTTTTGTTTCTGACAAAATTAATATAATATAGTACTTGAATGTTTTTATTGTCATACTATACTATTTACAAAAATGATTGTTTCATATAATTTGTATAGTATAACCTATTATTCTTTAAGGAGAAGTGAAAGGAAGAGAAAAGAGGAGAGGGAAAGGGGAGGAAGGGAGAGGAGAAGAGAGGGGAAGGGAAGGGGAGGAGGGAAAATCAGAATCAGAAAAGGAAAGGAAGGAGAAAGAAAGAAAATTACAAAAGAGAGGAAAAAAGAAAAAATAAAGGATATTTTCGTATATATTGTAAAAAATACAATGAATACTATAGCACTTCAATTGTTATGGTTATTTTCTGAATTTTAACTCTTTTATGGTTATTGGAGCTAATTTTCCATTAATTTCCCATTAAAAAGGTGGTTTTATGTAAAAAAAAAAGTTGAGAAATTGCCTTTATATGTAAATGACTAAATGTCTCAAAAACCAATTAGACACATACAGGTACAGCCCAATTTGCGCATCATCCGAATGAATATAATAGGCGGTTCAATAACGTCCACCCATCATTCAAGATTTTGCCCTATAAATAAATATAAATGGTTGTCAAACAAAGAACAAACAAACCAAATAATAAACATAAACCTTTTTTAACTTTTGGAGTTTTGGGTCCACAACACATCGTTCAAAATTCACTTCCACTAATATACACTACATGTACAGATTCTTGATTACTATCACTAACTCTTATTTTTATTTTCAACGTTCACAAACCTAGTGGCTAATTATGTTATCGCATAGACTATATTAAAGATGTGCATACATCCACAAGAAAAATGTTGTAGGCTACGTAGCGTTCGTCTTTTGATAGATTACTCGTTTTTGAAGCATCGTTTTATGACTTTAACGAATACTAATTTAATTACTTGAAAGTTAAAATTACTTAGCAAAAGGACCAACGTGTAATATAAGAATCCTCTGCATGTGAAGAGTCATTAATGTCAAATCTCTAATTTCGAAGAGATCAGCGAAACACAGAGAGAGAGAGAGCTTGAAGGTCCTCTTTGACTCTTCTCTCTCGCTCTCTCATTCGGAGATTATGGAATTGCTCTATCTCCTCTGCTCAATCCTCTACACTTCAATCACAACCTTCTTCCTCTCTCTCCTCCTCCCATTTCGCGTCCTTCTCCGCCGTCTCCTCCCCTCACGCGCCGCCGTCGATTCCAGCGTCTCCTACTACGAAGGCACCGTCTGGCACGACCGTCTCCGTCCCGTCCGGCACTCGTTTCGTTACTCCGTCCGTTACGCTCTCTTCGACCTCGACAATGCCCTCAACGCGCCGCCGGATCATCTCTCCGCCGACGAAGCTCGTGTACTTTCCCGTACCACCGGGCCTATGTGAGTTTCTCTTAATTTTTGCATTACATTTACCGTCGTCGAAATCGGAAATTCTGGATTTTTTAGCCACAATTCGAAAAGTTCGTTATCCCATGTCTAGAGATTTTGCTTGAAGGTTCTGTTCATGAGGAACGAGTTAAATTGGAAATTAGGGTAGATTTTTTTTTTGGGGTCAAAGTTAGGGATTTGATCTGGAAGAGTGTAGCCGGGTTATTTTCTGTAATCAAATCATTTCAAAGATTCCATGATTGTGTGTGATGATCAAGAACAGACTATAGCAAAGACTGTAATTTTAATTTTGATAGAAGAAGTTATAATGCTCAGTTTCTGATTTGGTTGCAGTTTTCTATTGACAATACCTCCAAGTGTTGGATATGAACAGAACCCATTGAGCTTGTATTATTGCTACAATTCCGAAGGTTCGAGTAAGCGCTTAAGCAAATGCATTGCGCAGGTAATATATATATGTAGTCGATGTCTCTTGTCCTCTGTTTCTTGATTTGTTCTACACAAAAGGGACGAAAGAAGAGAAATGTGTGATATGATTAGGGGATTTTGTAGGTTACAAACACGCCATGGGGAGAAAGAGTGACATTTGTTTTCGACCCTGAATCTGACGTGGTTGCTAAATCATTACAAGTCAGCCCTTTCATGGTAATAATGTTCTCTGATAATGTTATCATCTTTGGTTGATCTTATCAAAAGCTTGTGTGATTGATCAGAGGTTCGTGTTTTTCAGGATATGCTTGGGAATTGGAAGATTAGAGCCAATGAACCTGGAGATGATTTATCTGTGACCATTGAATCGAAGCATCCTCATCACGGTAACTTCTTCTCTGCGACATTAAAGGCGAAAAGAATACCTCAAACACGGGTGTCTGATCCCGCGGTTTTCTTCTGGTTGATGCCTCATAAGGTTGCTATATGGATCTATTGGCATGTAAGTGACATATACACTCAAATCTTTTAAGTACATATACTCAAAACCTAGATCAAGTAAAGGCTCGATTTCACACATACTGCTTTTTTGTTGGTTTTGGTTTTTAGGCACTTAAACTCTGGTGGAAGAATGTACCTTTCATTCAACACCCAAGATACTCAAACCCATTATACAGAGAGGAAGCAGCGAAACGCGATCGAGAACTTCGTTGTGTGGGTTTAGATGGATCAAACTCTGATGGAACCATGAAGCTTGATGGGTTTAAAGCAGACGGTTGTAGTAGTGGTTTTGGAGGATGTCGCTTTGCGTGGCGAGATGCTAATTGGCCTTGGTCATGAATCCATACACTCTTAAGGTAATAATACTTGTCGATTCTCATTTGCCTAATTTGTGGTTTTCTCTTTTGTGGACATGTTCAAAAACCAGAATTGACACGAACCTGCACACCTCACTCTCTCTATAAATACCTGAAAATGACACCAATGCCTGTCTCTATAAGTCTTTTTAGAGATTGTTGAAATAACGCTTTTTCTCTTTTGATTTAGGGGCTATGGCAGATCGTCACAGTTCGGAGTTTACAGTCATTCATCGAATAGTAAGATTGGTTTAAAAAATCATGTCAGGTTTTAGTCGACTGGTTTAGATTTTGGCTTTAAAACAAATGAACCTTGTTGATAGTAGTCAAGAAACTTTGCAGTTTGCATTGATTTGTTTGTAATAAATCCCATTTCCGAAAATCCTAATATTTGGTTTGTTGATAAAGTCTTCAATGTGACTTGATTTCTTACTAAGTGTTAACCATATCGTTCATGATTTCTTGTAATTTAAACCATTTAATCTATTAATAATTGTGTTACTAATTAGTAATTAGGTAGTGATGGTAGATTAATTTCCTTGTATTTTTCTGTTTTGGCCCTCACATAATTTAAATGGCGGCTAATGATTTGAAAGAATAGTCTGTAACTTGATTACAGATAATAGGTGCTCTTATTCTTATCGCTGTGCCAAATTTTTGTGGCTCTGATCAGTTTGATCTTTCTTATTTATCGTCCTAGTCTTTGATATTTTCAGTATACTTCATTAAAGTTCACACCTCATAAAATGGAACTGATGTACAAGTACAACATCCCTATCCAATAAATAAAGTACTCTCTTTGTTCCATAATGTATGTTTTGGGTTTTTATTTTGTTTTACAAAGATTGATTTTCTACATTATATTTAATATATTTATATTTCTAAGACAATTTTTTAAATAAAAAAATATAAAAAATTAATATTAAATTAATAAACAAATAAAAAGTACTTTTAAAAAGTAAATAATCATTGTTTTTTTAATATCTGTAAAACATTTAAAATATCATACATTTTGAAACGGAGGGAGTAAAATTTGTTTTGAGTATCTACAAAATTTATTGGAAACTGTACTTTTGTCGGATCCCTGATTCTTTGGATCAGCTTTCTAACGATATTATGTTGTTTGGTTATAAACTACTTTTTTTCAGAAGTGTTTTCATTTTCATAATTTTTTCATATTTGATGTTTATAGCGATAAGTTGGTTTTTAAATCATCCCCAAAAGATGGGTTTAGAGGGGAGGAGGGTCGACACATTTCAATTTTCAAGTTCCTTTTGCCATTTTTTTGTTTTTTTCTCTAATTTTTTAATAGATCTTCTGACCATATTTCTTGTAAATTTAGCTCATTTTGCCCTTTTAAAAATGTTTTACAGAGCACAAAAAAAACAACTCAGCTCAACTCAAACAAATGAATGTTTCAGATAAAATCAGACCTCATGTTGGGATTCGTTTAGAGACAAAACGTGCCAATTGCAAACTTTAGCATTGGATTTACGTACAACCCACTTGATATGTTTGCTTTTTGTTACTTTGTGCAACACAACATTAACCACATGTTAAATTCGGTCCCAAATTTGACTTATTTGTTTTTGAAATATCGCTAATTTTTATTTTCAACGAGCTTTTGTTTTCTATAATGTCGGTATATATATATGGCACAGTCAAAATAGGATTCTGTAGACTGCTTTTTGGTTAATGGGATAAAGTATTACGTCGACTGCCTTTACGCACGTAACTAAATCAAACTATTTTGTGAAAAGAAAACGACGTTTTCCGGAATAGTGAATCAGTTCAATGGTGTGCTTGGGGAACCACCAATCTTAAGGTCGTTGCCTCGTTGGTTATACTACTTACTAGTAGTATTTCTCATGACTCACGTGTTTTGCTTTTATGTTAGTTTCTTACCAAAAATAAATAATAGAACAAATAAAATGTCAGTTTCTTTTTCTTTACGGCAAAGAAAGTGTTGGTTATAATAAGCACAATATACTTTATAAATTTCGGTGTGTAGCAAGATTATCTTTTTGTATAGTTTGAATGTGAACATATTACATCTATAACCTAAAAAAATGGTATGAGTGTTGGTTAACTATATGTCCTCTCTTCATAGTGATTTGAAGTGAAAGTGACAATTTATAAGATGAAGATTGCGTCTATAATTAAATATTTACTGCTGCATGCAAGCTCTATCTAAAGCGGGATATGGTGAAGAGTAGAACACTGAAAATACAAAAATATTGATCCAAATTCAATTAAGAAAAGAAGAGAGCAAAGGATGTTAAGGCTTTTGCCTTTTGGCTTTTGGTATAGTATTCAAAATATATCAAACTTTAAAATATTGAAAACCGGATATGGAAATGGCGTCGATGTCAGAATTACTGAACCGATTTCATTTCAAATATATTTTGCTTGATGTCAAAATATTAGTCCCTGCTGCGACTTAATGTTTTTTTTCCTACGAATCTTACCACTTTTTCATAGCCGCGAAACAAAATATAATATAATTTACCTTGTATAAAGAAGTGATTAAGCAAAGATAATGAAAGGAACAGCGTATAGAGAGACACAAGCACGTGCCTTAACTAAAAGATTTATCAATTTGGACTCAAATGACAATTGACAAATGAGTTAGGTACGAAACATGAAATTAATTAATGTTTGAAAAAGTTATACAACTTGGAACGTTACTTTCGGCTCAGATGTTTACATCTAACACAAGTATGAATTGGATTAATATAAGTAATTACAGACGTGCCAAATAATGTAGCTCATAGATTACAGGGCTCAGCTCCACCACATGGGTTCGATTTAAGGCATGAGGATAAGAAAGAAATAGGTGAAAAACTACACACGTTTATGAATCAATTATCTTGATTTTAATTAAACCATTAAATCAACTTACGTGAACTACTTTAACGAAAAAAAAGTAATGTCAAACACCGCCAAGATTTTAATATTTGCGTGCGCAGTGATCACATAATTTACGCCGCCTATAATAATATACTAGAAAATAAAAGTAGGCGTCACACACTATAACTATGATAACGTTGAACTGTAAAATAATTAAATACCAAAGATACAAAAGTATTTAACAGACAATTGAGTCCATCAAAAGGAATGAAATATGACTATAAATTGGAAAAATGTGTAAAATGCCTCAAAACCGCCTGTAGAAATTTTAAGATAAGTATTAAACTAAAAAGAAAATGGACCTTATTTCTTTTCTTTTATTCATCGTAAATTAATACAAAATTCCAAATCCTTAAAAGTTGCTCATATGTAGAAAAAGCATTTTCCACGTGAGAGAATTAAAAAAAGCTGTGATCTGTCTGTCTCCCTGTTCTAAGATACCGCCGTTATAAAATCCGTGTTCTGTTTCACCGTCTCTCCCGTGTCCTCTCTCTCCTCACAAGATTATTTTTAAAAACTTATATATATAATAAAGCCAGACACGATATCATCACCATCATCATCAATTCTTGATCTCACAACCCGCGAAGATGCAGAAAAATTGTGACTTGGAACTTCGTCTTTTTCCTACTTCTTCTTGCGATTCCGATTCAGATACCTCGTAAGTCTCTCTCTCTCTCTCTCTCTCTCTCTCTTGGGATTTAACTTACAAGAAATCAACTAATATGTATATCTGATAAATGTTACATTTTAATGGGATTGAAGTGTGGTAGAATCAAGAAGCTCTGAAAATTCACAAGCGAAGGAAGAGTCTCAGAGAATAACAATTTTCTACAATGGACAAATGTGTATATCTTCAGAAGTTACCCATCTTCAGGTAAGATATATACTATATGCTACATTCATATGATTATAGGTTTTAGTCAATTAATCGAACGGGTTTATTAACCAAACATTAATGTTTTATGCAGGCCAAATCGATAATATCGATCGCGAGCAGAGAAATGGAAGAGAGGTCATCCTCAAACGGGTCGGATCTTCCAAATCGATCGACCCAATTTCGTCATCATCATTATCATCAGCTTCCAAATCCAAAGGCTTCCATGAAAAGATCTCTCCAAAGTTTTCTTCAGAAACGGAAAATTCGAATTCAAGCCACTTCCCCTTACCATCAGCATTCACGGCGATAGTGTTTTTTCTTCTTTTTTGTTCTGTTTTGATATATTCTTTTAGCAGTTTTTTAATCCAAATTGGAATTCAATTGTATTAGGTTTCTCATGTGCTTGTTATTGATTCGGGAGTACTCGCAACACACACACACACACATATATATCAATATTAGTCTTTGATTGATCCCAAGATTTGAATCTGATTTTTATTGGTATATTATTACATTGACCAATATATATGAACAGAACAATTCATAAATCTCCAGCTCAATGTTCAGATGTTCTTGTGTATATGTGCAGTACTAAGTGATTTGTCTGTTTTATAATCAGTGTAATCAATTAGTAGAAGCTTTATATTTGTAAACACTAAACAGTGTTTTGAAATGATTAAACCTACATTACATGTTTGTACCGAACACATTTGCACACTTTTACCTTTTGACTATACAAAGTTTCGGAAAAGAATCACAAGATTTTTAAGAAGAAATTCAAATGTTAGATAAGGTATAACTTCTTTTTACAAATTGTATACCATCTTAATTAGAAATCACTTATTTGCACGGATTGGGCATACTTTAGCACCGGAGAGAGTTAAGGTTTTCATTTGGTTGGTTAACAACGAGAGATTATGACAAACCTAGAGAGATTGCGATGGCACCTTACGTGTCATTGAGGTTTGCCAAGTATGCCATGGGGGAGAAGAGTCCATAATTCATGCGAATTGTTCCGCTGAGAAAGAAGAGGGAATTCTTTGAAATGTCTCTATTGGAAAGGGTATATGCGAACTAAGGGGATGAATCAGATATAGTTGAGATTTTGAGTTCAATAAAATGATGGAGACAATTGTCTACACTCCATTACCATCTTAATTAGATCCACACAGTTAATCTTTTATATTAATTAAACTTTCGCGTGATATTTAGCATATTATTATTTTATATGCAAAGAATGGTGGAATAATAAAGTTCTTTTGTTTGTTTAAGGCTTTTTTTTGTTCAACATTTTTTCATTAATCAAACTTTTCGATTACAAGAACCAGAGGGAATTAAACATCCACTTTGAACAATACAATAAAGCATAAAGACAATTAAACATAGAGCAGATTTATCTTCATTGAAGAATGACAGCAGATTTGAAACCAAGTTCAAATACGTCAAAAAAGCTTTTCCAGCCGAGCTAGAGTAGATAACCTTAGTCACATTGCAAAGTGATGTTGAAAAACAACTCCTCCCTCCAAATATCATTAAAATGAATCTGGTTGCCTCTTCAGATCCCATGCAGACCATCGAAGAAGAAGACATAAAGTTGATGAAGTTGTAACGATTTTCCAAAGGAAAATCCAAGAGATAAAAACCTTTCTTATAACCACAAATAGGAGAAGAGTGAACATCAACACCGGATCTGAGCTCCTGACCGGCTGTACCGAGTGCGGCAGAAACAGAGAAGAAGAAAACGATGCATGAGACTTCTGGTGAGGGGCGGGAAAAAAGACGGCGGAGCAGGAGATGAAGCAGACGAAAGAGGCGGAGAGGTTATAGACGACGGTAACAAAGACTCCCAGACATCTGGCGGGTCAGGAGGGTCCGGTGGATCCGGAGGAAACATAACCAACACCACCAGAGAAGGATAAGAGTTCGCCTCTTTAGGATCTGGAGGGTCCGAGGGAGGAGAGGGAATTTCACAGCACTAGAGCTGCTTCAACGAAGCCATGGGGAGCGAGCAATCAAAAACCACCGTGAAAAAGAAAAGCTGAGATGGGTTTCGTCGGGAAACAAGGAAGCGACGAGGGAGAACCAGATTGCTGTCAGATGGGGTGGAGACTCGACAGCAACTGCTTCGGGGGCTAGAAGAGCACACAGCCGGAGGGGAGGCAAAGTCGGAGGTTCATTCTGGGGAAGAGATCTGCTTCACGCGGCGGCCTCGGGAAAGGTGCCTGGGAGAGAACTTTGTTTGTTTAAGGCTATTAGCCTATAAATATATACAAAAAGAAATGCACGCGGAAAGGTTCTTATCTTAGCATTATGGGATCTCACATCAATACCCTGATTCATGACAACATTTTTTCTCGCAACTGAAGATACTCACTTAGAAAAACAATTTGTGCACGTGAATTTTGTTACGATATTAATATCCTTGGTTCAAATTCATCTTGAAACAAAAATCACATTCATGTGAGAAGTGTGAGCTTGGGATTCAGTTTAGATAATTTACCTGGTAGTTCGGTAACAAGCGATCCCACTATCCCTAGCATTAGTTGGAAGACATTTCAAACTCGGAACAGGTAGTATAATGATTCAACAATTTCATGGATCTCATGGATTTCATGGCCCGTTCGACCCAAATACGCTCGGAACTCATAATGTTTGTTGAACAATTGAACCGTTGAACCAATAAAAGAGAAGTCAACATTGTAACACATCAATGCATTCCTATTAGGACCGATGGGATCAACTGATAGGGTTTATTTATGAATGAAACTAGTTTCTATAAACATAAATACTAGAGCATCTGCATTGGTGAATTTTTCATAAGAGTCTCTTATTAATAAAAAAATCATAAAATAATATATATTAATATTTTATTATAATAATCTTTTAAAATAGTTGAGAGACTTATCTTATCTTCACTTTTTGAGAGATTTATATATTAAAATATTAATATTTTTTTTTTTTTTAAGAAATTCTGGTGAGAGACTTTCAATACATATGATTTTACACTACTAAACATTTCTTAGCCTGACACCAAACAATCGCTCTAATCTAACAGATTCTCACACCTCACCCTCACCCACCATATTAAGGCTACAAACAACAATATACATGTATTTAATTTTCTATCTCGCCGTAATTAAACCGTTATTTTCACCCAAAATTTTTTTTTAAAAAAAGATAAAATCAGACCCGACCCAAAACTCACCCAGACCCGACCTAAACTATAAACCCAATTTTGGCGGAGTGTATAATGGACCCATTTAACAATTTTATGGATATACCTTAATGTTACAAGTTTTTTTTTTGAAATTAAACAGTATCTTATCTTAATTAAAATGTGGAGGTGCTTGTAGTAACAAATAAATGTGAACTGGAGACGGACGGATATAACTCTCAAAATTTACCCAAAAGCGATCTTGATTTCCAAATTAGCATCGAATAGAAGATTCTAAACAGTTCCTCGTTCTTTGGGATCTGAAAAGGAAAAGAGGCCCTCTCCTAGTTCTCGTTTCTGTGGAATATTTCGGGAATCTATAGGTACGAAACGAAGATATGACCACAGACTATTGGGCCTCAAATTTAAGCATTGAACTGATAAACAACCCAGCCCACACACGACTATTGGGCCTTTTCCGCCTGTGTGTATTCCTCTTGTATCTTGAACTGATAAACAACCCAGCCCACACGGTGAACGATTTCTCAGAGTGAAAATGAGCATTACTTGTGTGATTATTGGTAATTAGGTGATCGATGTACAGGTTATAAAACAATTTATATATTCAATATATAATTAATATTGTATATTGATTTATTACTAATTGTATATGATTAATCATGTTTTAAATAAATATTTTTAATGATAAAACCCCTCAAGTAAAAGTAAAGATGAATGGGATTTAAACTCCTTAACTAAACATTTTATATGAAAACCTCTTGTGTAAGTTTTTTTTTTAAATATTAACCCCTCCGTTTAAATCATCGTCAATATTTATAATCATCGTTAAAAACAAAACGACTCGTTTTGATTTCGTCAAAAACAGCACACACTAACTCTAAAATAACACGATGTGTTGATAAAATAACACCACATTTTAAAATCTGAGCAAAATTCCCAAATTCATACGACGAGCCCTAATTTTAGAAGTTAAGGTTCTTTGAAGTCAAATGTGAAAGATTAGGAGTGATTATATTGTTTCGATGTTCTTTGAAAGTTTACGGTGAGAGTTTAGGAGTAATTGGCTGTTGTGATTAGAATAATGTTTTTTTTTTGGTGCAAATGTGAAGATTCATACTTTTTTTTTTTTTTTTTTTTTTTTTCCTTGAGTTTTTTGAATTTACAATGTTGGCGACCCAACTTATTACATAAACAAATAACAAGCGCTAAGGAAAAGAAACACAGCGAAAATAATCTTCGAGGAGCGAAGGCGAGCCGACACTTGTAGCTGGAATCGACAGCAGACGATCTTTGAGCATCCTATCAACGGCAGCGGCGATGGTTGAAGCAGGCATTTCCACAGAGGTGAAGATCCTTGCATTGCGTTCCTTCCATAAGAGGTAAATGGTGATTTGAAAACAGAGCTTTGCGATGGGGATCTTCGGGGGCGGCAAGCTTGTAATCAGAGACACTACAGTTGTCAGATCCACCGACGGGGACCGCCAAAAAGAAGAGGCAAATCGTTTCCAGATTCCTGAGGAGAAAGGACAGCTAAAGAAGAGATGATCATGGGATTCAATCCCGGTATGGCACAGGACACAACTACCTGGAACACTCATTCCCCAACGGATTAGTCTATCTTTGGTCGGTAATCTGGTCAAGAGAACCAACCAAGTTATAAGAGCACACCGGGGGATTAATTCTTTGAACCAAACGACTGTATGCCACTGAACAGCTGGAGATGGAACCCTTAGCTTCTCCCACGTTGCCTTAGCGGAGAAACCGTTACCAAACGTACTAGCACTATTTCGCCATAAAAAGATATCAGAACCCCTTGTCTAAAGAGGCGGAGGAAGCGTCGTTAATGAGATCTGTATTTGGAGAGCTTCCTCTGAACGTGCTGCAGGTAACCTCCAAGAGCCGTTCATTACCGCTTGAGCCACGCGGGCTCTTAGAGGGATTTGCAGTTGTCTCGGTCCCCTTTCTCCCATAAAATTGAGTAGAGGTCCTAAGTCCGTCCAGCAATCATACCAGAAATAAGCCGAGATACCGTTACGAACATCGCACTTCATGAACTCAGGCAGAACTTGTTTAAGCCGAAGCATGCTTCTGATAGGTGGCGAGAACCTTGCTGAGTCATCGCTTTCCCAGAAACTCTTTCGATGGAAGACATTTTTATTCAGCCAAGCGACCCACAGTGAACCTGCATTAGAAAATAAGTTCCAGACCTGCTTCAACCGGAAAACCATTTCAAAATCCTCGAGGAGTTTAATACCGAGTCCTCCTTCTGATTTTGGCTTACATACTTCCTTCCAGGCCACTCTTGCCCCTGCCGCTGAAGTTGTTTTGTTTTTCCACAAGAAAGCCGAACATAGGGAATCCACTTTTGCATAGAAACGCTTTGGCAGGACAAAAACAGAGCTCCAGAAGTTGACCATACCGTAGATTACAGACGAGATGAGCCTAATTTTGCCAGCGAAAGACAAGAATTTTACTGTCCAACAATGCAGCTTGCTCGTTATTCTTTCTAGGAAAGGCTGAAGAGTGGCAAAGGATATTCTGGTTGCGTCTAGGGGCAGGCCAAGATATCTAGTTGGGAAGGTACCAAGCTTGAAACCAGAAATTGCACTTAGTACGACCACCTCAATATCCCGGTAACCCCCAAAGAACACCTCTGTTTTTGCGACATTAATGTCCAGTCCACACAAATCTTTAAACTCAGCCATGACATCCGTTATACCCGAGAGAGATAGTCGTGATCCATCAGAGAATACTAGCAAATCATCGGCAAATAACAGATGGGTTACCTTAGGATCCGAGCATTGAGGGTGCAGCCTAATTTTACCCTGAGTAGTCGCTTTTTCCAGAGACTTTGACAACACTTCCATTACCATGATGAAGAGGTAAGGCGACATTGAATCTCCTTGTCTCAGGCCTTTCTTGCCCGGGAAGAAGCCTGCTAATTCACCGTTGATTGCGATAGAGAACCGTGGAGAGGTGATGCATTCTTTGATCCAAACTCTAAAGAGCGGAGGGAAATTTTGAGCCTCTAGAATTTTAAGAACGAAGTCCCAACATACCGTATCAAAAGCTTTCCTTATGTCGACCTTCAGCATACAGCTTTTGGGGCAAGACGGCTTTTCATAGTTGCGTATTAACTCCGAGGCTAGCAAAACGTTTTCCCCTAAACTCCTTCCCTTCAGAAAAGCAGCTTGGTTGGGGCTTATGCAGTCAAGGAGAACTGGCTTCAGCCTATTCGCAATGAGCTTTGAGATCACTTTATAAACTATGTTACAACAACTAATCGGCCGGTAGTCAGTTAACTTACAAGCCTCAGATGTCTTAGGAATCAGAGTGATTGCTGTGTTGTTAAGGTCTTTCAACAGCCTGCCGTTTCTGAAAAATTCCTTAACCGCCGCGATTAAATCCGTTCCAACAGTATCCCATGAGGCTCTAATGAACTCAACCGAATATCCATCCGGGCCAGGACTTTTATTCAACGGCAACGCAAAGACCGTGGCTTTAATTTCTTCCGCAGCAACCTCTTTCTGCAAAGCATTTATCTGGTCCTGCGAACATCTAAATGGCAGGAGGGCCTGTAGCTGAGAGATAGACGCAGGGGAATTTGGGAGATCAGTGTGACCTATAATACCCTGAAAATATTCAGCTGCATAGGCCTTTATTTCCTCGGTATCACCAATCATCCTGTTATCACTGTAGCGGAGGAAATGAATATGATTTTGCGTGAGTCTCTGATTTACCGTCCTGTGATAGAAAGCAGTATCTCTGTCCCCCTCGCACAACCACTTAACTCTGGAACGCTGTCGATAGAACTTTCCTTCCGCCTTGAGAAGCATTTGCCACTTAGCTCTAGCTTGATATTCTTCAATAGCTAGTTCTGGTGTAGGTGAAGTGAGAAGCATCCTTTGCAGGTTTAATACAATTTCAGCTTGATCTCTTACTCTCTCTGAAACCCCACTGAACTGGCGTTTGTTCAGCTTTCTGAGAACCGGCTTCAATAACTTCAGCGCCTTTGCAAGCTTTAATTGGTTTGATCCTGAAATGTCACCATAACTCCAAGCCTCAGCGACAAGTTCTCCAAACTGAGGATGATCAGCAGTATGATGGAAGAACTTGAAGGGCTTAGAAGCCTTTCGATGTAAAGATGGCATCTGAAACAAACACGCTGCATGATCTGATTGAACAGGCTCCATGAAAACAGCATAAGCGTCCGGGAAGGCAATTGACCAATGACAATTTATAAAGGCGTGATCTATTTTCTTAGATATTGGATTGTCCTCTTGATTATTCCACCAAGTGAAAGGTAGTCCCTTGGTTTGCGCCTCAAACAGCTCCGCATCCTGAAGTGCAAGATTGAAGTCCTCCATTCCAGAAGTATCAATGTGCGTTTGCTGAGAGTTGGAGTGTTGAGATGATTGTCTTAGCTGGTTGAAGTCACCCAAGACCGCCCACGGAGTTCTCGAGACTGGAGTAACAGCATTCAATGTATGAAGCTCATCCCAAAGAGTTCGCCGAAGATCAGTTCCATTGTGCCCGTAAACAAATGTAATCGTAAGGTTGACGTTTTGAGCTTGGATGAAAATCCCGCATGTAACAGCTTGAGCGGATGACTGGTAGACAAAAACCGAAATACTAGGATCCCAAACCACCGTAATGCGAGCTGTTTCATGATGGTCAAAGTTTCCAAAGAAGTTCCAACCTGTCGGAATGGCGCGAGCTATGCGCCCAGCATTTACTCGTTGTATATGTGTTTCGTAGAATGCTCCAAAAAGTGGTCTATGGATATTAATCCAATCTTTTGTCATAGAGTGGCGTCTATCACTGTTCAGTCCTCTAATATTCCACGCAAAAAACATTATGATAACTAATCAAAAGTGGGTTGTGGCCTTACGGCCACTCTTCTTGTTGCGGACCAAGAAGAAGGGGGCTTCTGCAGCCTCTGAAACCTTTGAAACCTCTGAAACCTTATTCCCGACCTCGGTTGATGATGATGCTGCATCTTTCTTTTCAACAGTCGTAGAGATCCCTTCCTTATCCAACACTCTAGCCTTCTCCTGCTCGTTAGCATGCTCCACAACCCCTGGAGTTTGCTCTGCATCTGCATCTGCATTGTCATCGGAAGAGGCTCTGTTTCCATCAAGCAAATCAGTCACAGTCCCATCCTTCTCATTTGTACGTGAGTTCGAACTGCCAGTTGTACATGTGGTCGAGGTCTGCCTCTTTCTGCTCTTAGATCTGCCTGGTCTTGCCCGCTTCCCACGGCTAGGACTAGTGCTTAGAGTACGAACCTGGTTCAAGACAGAAGGACCATCATGGCATCGACTTTTGGAGTGCCCGAACAAGCCACACCCTTCACATTTCAGCGGTAGCCAAGGATAAGTCACAGAGATGTGCGCTTCACGACCATTCGAGAAACCAGAGATGATTTTCGAAGGAAGCTCCTTTGTTAGATCCACCCGAACATAGACCTTAGCAACCTCGAACGTCTCTTTACGCTCTGTTTCAGAAGCTAGAGAAACAGGTTTACCGACGGCCGTAGCTATACGACTCAAGCTTTCCTTGTTAAACAGTAGATACGGGACTTCTCTGAATTCAACCGGGACAACGGCTGATGTTAGAGGAAGTTGTTCTGGGTTGAGGTCAGGAGACCAAGCCGCCACAAACATAGGGAAACCTGCAATATTCCATACAGTTCGGCTGAGGAGGATTTCTCTTGTTCGGTCGTTAATGACTCGAAGAAGGAACGTTCCATGGCCAATTTTGTGAACGAAAATGCGTGGACCTGTGCGAGCCCAAAGAGCATTCACAACTCCTATTATTCTTCCCATTTCCGGAGCATCCCCGTGGAATCGAGCGAAGATGAAATCTTTGAACTCATCTTTGGCGGCCTCCAAATTTGCATCCGGGATTAGAACAAAAGGGACTCCTGAAACATGCTGAGAAGGGGTTCCAATCTCTTCTAGTTGAGAAGAATCTGTAATGATACTTGACCATTTTCGCACCGGACGGCTAGAATTTACAACCGGTAAACCTGATTTCACTGGAGTTATATCCTTCTGACCAGCTACAAACCGTGGATACGAATCGGCGACGGGAGCCACTGGAAGCACGATTTGCGACTGCGAAGAGTTTCCTGGATCTGTAAGTGTCCCAGTTCCCAAAGCAACTGAGTTCTGTAGATCTGCAGTAATGCCAACTCCAGGGGGCAGAGAGAGGATACCCGAGGGAGATTCCCCACTTTCTGGATGTGAAGGGTCTCCAGAGAGACCGCAGCTACCGGCAAAGGCGTTGTCGGAGAGAGACTTCTTCTCAAAGGCTACCATAGAGCGAGCTTGAGCAGAGACCCGAGAAAACTTAGTCGTATCTGGAGGCATAGAACGAAGGACTTTTTTCTTTTGCTTTGTCATTAGGCTAATTCTCGTCAACCGGCGTGAGGCCGGCCGGCGGTGGGGAGAGGGGAGAAAATTCTATTTTTCTCTTATTCTTTTCTATTCTTGATTAGAATAATGTTGAGAGATAAGCCGACAAAGGATCCAGGTAAGAATTCTGAATGACAGTATTTGAAAGAAGATTTGAGCAGATGAAAGGTATAAAATTTGCAGCTTATGAGCAGATGTGTTAAGAAAAGTGTCGGTTCAAATTTTTCCACGTAAGAATTCTGAATTCAAAATTACTTTTGCTTAGGTTTGTCTCTGTTTTTTTGCTTCATTTTATATATGAGATTCCTATATAAAATTATGAACAAGAATGTCTGTCGTTGCCTAATGATGATTCTTTTTTACCTTACATCATATTTCTCTCCCCTTCATCGTTTGTCCCTACAAAAGAATAGTTGCTTATAAAAGATGGTGCTCTGTTTTTTTCTTTGTCGAGTGAAATTGTTATATTTGTTCTGCTTTTGCATGTCTATGAAGCTTTTTAATTTTGTGTGTTACCAAGACTAAGATAGGAGTGACCTGGGTTCTGTGGCTGTAGCTCAAGCAATGAATACAATTTTTTTTTTTTGTGTTATTTTCTCTTATTTTCTGACAACATATTATAATTGTTTTTTATATTGAATGCTAATATTTTGTGTATTATAAATATTTTGCTCTTTTTATATTGAATGTTAAGTTATTTTGCATCTTAAAAGAAATTAAATGAAATTAATTAATGAAGTGGTTGTTGATATGGCAGTACCAAAAGAGAGAAAAATTACAATACATATACTCCCTCCGTTTCATAAAGAGTGTCGTTTTAGAGTTTTGTTTTTGTTTCACAAAAAGTGTCGTTTTAGGTTTCCAATGCAAATTTATAACAAAATATCCAGTTTTAACCTTGTTACTTTAGTGTATTAATTAGAAAAAGAGAGTTATTTAATATATTTATTAAGGATAGAAAAGACTTTTTGTTAACTTTCTTAATTTGTGTGAAAAGTGTCAAAGTGACACTTATTTTGAAACAGAGAGAATATATTTTAAGTATATATTTCTTTCTTGACCTATTACAAATTAAAAAAAAGTAGGTTTCACCATCTTTACTTATCATAAGAGCGGATAGATGGTTGATCCGCACATAGATATTTTTAAACTAATAAAATATTATTTGACTATAAATTTATCAATTAGTTAATAATTTTGTAAATTAATAAAATTTTGGAGTCTCAACATTATTAATTTATAGAAGTTTTACTACATAATCTAGTGTATTAATATTATAATTTCATATTTTTCTTTATTTAATTCAGTCAATAAAAATATTTCGTTTACTTTAAGAAATTAGCTAGGTCACATTTCGAGGTTATTATTAAAAAACACTAACTTTTACTTTTCTTATGATACATTAGCTTTTTCATTAAATATACTTGTCAAATAATAGTTAAGATTAATTTATAGAAGTTTTACTATATAATATAGTGTATTAATGTCATAATTTTATAATTTGTTTCGTTTTAATTTAGTGTATCAAAACATTTCGTTTATTTTAGAAAATTAGTCAGGTTACATTTTCAGGTTATCATTAAAAAGCACTAACTTTTACTCATTTTCTAACATATCAGTTTTTTTTATTAAACATGCTTATCAAATAATAGTTAAGATTACAAAAATCGGTATAAACCAAACAATGTGATTTTCGGTTAAAGACCTAAAAACAAACCATGGCTACTACTAATTCCTAGTTCTCTCTCACTGGGCTGTTTAGTTGATGGTTAAACACTTTTACTTTTGCTTTTGTTAAGTTGATGATATTTATGATTCATATTTACTTTATTCGGATCAGAACATGTTTAGATGATGTATCGTTATTTGGATCAGAACAGATAAATAAGAAAGAAATTACAATATTATTAATAATACAAAACACCATAAAAATCGAGGGTTTCTAAAGGTGTATGTAAACATTAAAATAATTAAAAAAAATTGATTAATATGAAAGAATAATAAGTAACGTACCTACATAAGTGACTTTTACACCATGTCCATCGGTTGTTTCTACTAAAGTTTTTAAACATTAAAATATTAAAAGAAGTTGATTAGCATGAGAGAGAAAGAAGCAATGTATGTTATATAGGGATTTTAGATACATTTTTTAACTTTATAAGATATTTGTCCCTTAGTTATTTGTTTACTTTCTCTTTTAGGATATAATTTAAATCTAAAAATAAATAAAAAGAAAAATATTGATTTTATTATGTTTATATACCTACTTTGAGTCTCCAACCGATGAAGATGCTCTTACATACGTCTCTTGATTTTTAAAACCGATGGAGTTGTCTTTAGAGCATCCCAGTGAAAGTATCTTAATATGTATCTTAATATTAAAATAATTGAAAATAAGAAAAATGGAGAGAGATAAGTGAGATGAGGTTCTTATTTGAGATATTCATGAGAGAGAAATGAAAACTCTTCACAATATGTGTCTTTAATTTATTGATTTATAATTTTTATTTAAATTAAAATTTAATTTAATATATAATTATGTTAAAAAAAAATTTTGAGAATCCCAAAAGATATCTCATTTGGAGATGTTTTTAGAGCAACTACATTGGAGAGCCCGTTAGGAGTTCTGAAGCAAAAAAAAGAAAAAATAAATAAATAAATAATATGGCAAACAAAAGTTACAGAGTCAGACTCTACTCAGAGAGCTGGTAGAATCGATTCTTAAATGATGTGTCTTTCTCTAATTCGTGTTATTTTTGTTTTTAAGTTGAAAATCATTTTTTTCTGTTTTCTCTCTGCTTCGATCAATTTTTTTCTGTTTTATGTTAATTGATAAAATATATTTTATGAGTCTCTCCAATATTAATGCTCTTAGATTACTAAATTAAAAAAGACACAATAGTAAACATCGACCTTAACTAGAGAGCCAACACGGGAGAGTTTCCTGAAACATAACTAAGACATATTAAAACAGCAAGAGAGATAATAAGACAACAAGGAATCTCGAATACTTTCCTTTTCTTTTTCCTTTGTGGCCTTGTGCCGCTCCTTGACGTCTTCTTGTTCGTGGTAAGGTGGGCGTTGCTCCTCACATAGCCACTCCTCAGGACCTGGGTGTATTGTCTTCATTGATTGGCGTGTATACACCTTTGATGATGGCACTTTCTGCAACCACCTCGAACATTGTGGTAGTGATCACATCTGCAGCAACCTTCATCCCGACCTTTGGTGGAGGAGGCAAGGCTGTGGAGACGTGATGCAAGCAGAAATCCAGTGGTGGTGGTGCTTAATCTCCACCTCCACTTCATTCTCTGGGATACCAAAGTCCTTCGCCATAGTTTTGGTTTTTTTCTTGTGGTTGGGAAATTGTGCGTTTGTTTTCTCTCTCGAGTGTTTCTTATATCTAAACTGAAGAACAGGGGTATAGCAATTGAATTCTAAGCCACCAAGAAATAATTGAATTACGAGTGAAATAGATATCACCCATCGAGAATTTCTTGGGGAGTGGAGTGTAACAGGTATATCACCATCGTAGATGCAATAAGAGACTTAAATGGTTATCATTTTGTACAAATAATGCATTTTGAGTGAGACGAATATCATTGGGGGTGTTTTGACCTTGCATCATTTGGGTAAGCTTCTCTTGTTCCAATTCTATGTGTTCTTTGTGCAATCACTTATCTTTTTCCGATTCTCCTTTATTCGAAGCCTTGAAAAAAAAAATAGTTGTGTTTGATTTTCAAGAAGAAAACAAAAATGTTTTGAAAGCTATTTGTGGACTTTTAATAGTTGGTTTTGCATGTACGATTATTTCTACATTACAAGAGGAAATATATATGATTACGTACCAACCAAACTGTGGACGAATACTTTCATATATTAAGAGATGCTTACATTTCTGAGTCACCTCCCATATGACATATTTTACTTTGAATATTTATTAGTGTTACACAACCAAATGTGATGTTTGAGTTTTAGGTGGTAATATTTTTGGTGATGAGTGTTAAATGTCTCTGGTAGAGAAAGGGAGAGGTTTTGATGATGAGTATTATTATTTGAAACGCTTGTGTCATTGATGACTGAGGAATGTCACCCTCTGGATATGAGAGTTTCCTCGTCAAATGGTAAAATATATACTCTAGTAGTCTCTAGCTAGTATGGTATTACCCATACACTATTGATGGGTTTGTTCTTGCATAACAGGTACGCCAAAGAATGTTTGGATTCGAGAAATGTCTCGTATAAAACACAGCAGATCATGGTATTTAGAGAGGAGGTCATTATACTTTTATATATTCGGTTATTTTTCATCAGAACTTTGATTTATTAGAAAAAGGTGAAAAAATAGATTTCTCATTCCATTCCAATCGAGCAAAAGAAAGAATTCATATTGCATTCAGGTATTTCAACTGAAATACCTATAAATGGTATTTCCGTAGAAATACAGAAAAAAAGAGTTTTGGAATGATTAAATATGAGACAACAGAGGGAAAATTCATGTGTTATACTGATGACATTGGAGATCTATGCATCTTTGTTTCAAAGGGAGAGGCTTTTTGCGTTCAGGCAAACTTTTTCCCTGGACTCGAACCAAACTTCATCTATTTTATTGGCTTTGGCTTTTTAACTTAATATAGTGGCCGAGTTTTATTATCCCGGTTACGCTTTTGATGATTATTACATTTGTGATTTGTGTAATAGAGATAAGATCAAGAAATATTGAAAATGAATTAGTGAACTAAGGATGGAAAACAACTAGTCACGTGCTGCTTAAAAGTGGAACATAACACAACCAAGACCACAAACTATAAATGCAGCTTGTTCTGCTGTTTCTTCTTTCCCATTCGAGAATCATCTTCATTGACAAAGATAGATTATCATCTATATTCCTTTTTATTTAACCTTAGTCACTAATATATCATGTTAAGACCAAACGACTTTAGAATTTTGCAAATCAATTAGAATATACCGAGTGTCTTTTCTTCCACGACGAATTTTGCAAATCAATTAGAAATTACAAAATCTTGAGTTAACAACATCTACATATAATATTTTTTTCAAACTTTAGAATAAATTATCAAATATTTGTTTTTTTTAACTTATTATCAAAGATTTGTTTAGTCCAAAAAAGTTAAAGACAGCGAAGTCCAAATTTGGTTTTACATATTTAAATTTCAAGCCAGTTACCAGTTATCTTTTTAGATAAATAAATATTTACCAAACAAAAGATTTATTTTTCATTTGAGTGAGAGGGTGTTTTAACCATGAGTTATTTGGATATGCTTCTATTGCTCCAATTCTCTGCATCTTTGTACAATCATTTTGGTTTTTTTTTATCGATAAAAACTCAGTCCGGAATACGTTTATGGATCTCCATTAAAAATGCAACCATAACGAATAATTCACTTGTTTCTTAATCACACTAAAACTGCTAAAAAAAAATATTTTGTTTAATTTGATTTTAAAATTTTGATTTGACCATTCAATCGTAAATGTACTTAGATATTCTATAATCATTCTGCTTGCTTTTCTAATTTTTGGAGTTTTTTCTTTGTTCCGACCATCATATTACCTTCGTTTACTCAATAAACCACGTAGTTCAGTCCATACATGTTGATTATATAATTCTTAGGATATCGTTGATTTATGTGTTTATTTTTAGAAAGATCGTTGATTCATGTTTTTTTTTTAAAAAAGATTGTTGATTCATGCGTTTTTTTTCAGAAAGATCGTTGATCATGTATTTTAACTTATTAATGACAAATATTTAGATCACTATATATGCATCATAAAAATAGCTTAATAGTCACTATGATTTCAAACAAAACAAAAATCTTCAATATCTTACCCTAGATTTCAAATCGAATATCTTCTTTAATATTGTAGAGACAATACTCTAAATTTTTGGGTTAAGTAGAATGTATGATTTAGAATAGGCAGAACTTACAAAATTTATGAAGTCGAAAAATAAAAAACTCACAAATTTAATTAATATTATCTTATCTTATAATGGTTGAGTCGAATGCAGTAGGAAATTTCCTTATCTTAAAATGTGAACTAGAGACTGTCGGAAGTCCTTTTTATTACAAGTAAATGTCAATTGGAGTATAACTCCCGACAGCCTTTTTCGCAATTAAAAAAAACTCATTTATTTATTTATTATTTGTTGTTAGAAGACAAGATCTCAACGAGAAGTTACTTTCGTATAAATTCATAGACAACTAAGGCCATGGTATTGCAAAAAAAAAAAAAAAACGTTAACATTAGAAAAAAATGGCTTAGTCGCTTATATCATCGATCAAGGATACACGATGTCACAGTTCTAGTAAATCATTGATTTTATACTTCGGGACTCAAATTAACAGAGAAAACAGTTTATGATTAAAGTGATCTAGTTTGTACCAATGCTATGTTGTTAACTAGGGGACCATATATAATTATCTCCATAGTTCATAGGCACATGACAAATTAGAATAATGATTAGCCTCTCACATAATATATATGAAGATTAACAACAAGTCAACAAAAAAAGGATATTAGATTGAGAAGATGCCTAGAGTCTAGAGATATCGGGATGATTAATATAAAAACGAAATTATCGGAGGAAATGCTTATATCTATCAGAAGACGACAGACTGTTTTTTTTTAATATCTTTTATATATTTATTATATGGACGATGTGTCGATGTATTTCATTCTTACCACGTCAATCATAAAACTATGATATAATTGGAAATATCTAATTATAGTAACAATTTTAAGAAAGACAGTGGCGATGACAAGGAATTGGACTGAAATTTACACGACTATTAAAATACAACTACCAAACTTGTCGATGCATCTGCAACTTGACAAGTGTTATAGATTGCGTGCGTTATCCTTAACTTATGGTAATTAACACTGCACATTTATCTTTTTAATTTACCATTTAGTAGTTAAGAACTATTAGAATAAGTTTATAATGATATTGATAATGTGTACACAGAATTGATTATTGTATAGATCAATAGTTTAAAGAAATGACTTTAATTTCAAGGTTCGAAAAACAAGAGCTAGATGTTCGTCGAATATTGGATTAGTATTTAATGCTAAAAGCACTATGATAGTGTGTAGACAATATCTAGAATATTATCTGATTGTGTTGTTGTCTAATGATGACGTATTGATATTCTGCTGTACCAATGCTCGCAAATCTGCGATTGGTGCCTTGACCAAATATGTTTCCCGAATTAATTTAGGTTTGTATCTATCCTAACCTGATTTTGTTATAAAATGTAATTTCTTAGGTAGACAAGATATTGCAATCTATATTAATTACTTAATATGAATTGCCGGGCACCTACCAGGATGTTTCAAATGCGAGTGACCTTTAGTTTCCACGTAAATCACTATGACGCGACAAATGAATCGTGTCAAGACTCCATCAGTAATTAATGTATATCCCAAGGGCAATTTCGACAATTCGTAAACGCAATGATTCAGATCCATGAACCACTATATAAAGGTTGCAACACCTCAAAAGATCGTAAGCAACCACATAACTCTTTAGCACTAGCTCTCAATCTATCAATTCCTCTTCCGGCAAGTGAAAATGACAGAAATGTCTTCTTCGTACATGATCGCGAACCCTAAGTTCGAGCCTTACAAGCCAAAGAAACGATATCACTACTCTTCTTCGGTGCTCTCCACTCTCTTCTCGATCTTCACCTACATTTTGATCTTCTACGTTTTTGAACTATCTCCATCTTCGATCTTCAAAGACACAAAGGTCTTGTTCTTCATCTCCAACACTCTCATCCTCATAATCGCCGCCGATTATGGCGCCTTCACCAATAAAGAGAATCACGACTTTTACGGTGAATATACTGTTGCGGCGGCGGCGATGAGAAGCCGTGCAGATAACTACTCTCCGATTCCCGTTTTAACATACCAAGAAATCCCTAGACAGCAAAACTCAGGCGATGCAGAAATCAAGAACCCTAAAGATGTCAAAACCAAGAACCCTGATGAAGAAGAACCGATGGTGAAAGAGATCGTGTGCGTTTTGTCGCCTCCTGAGAAAATAGTACGAATGGTGAGCGAGGAGAAACTGAGAGACCATGTAGCTACCGAGAAATACAAACCAGTTAATGAGAAAACTGCTGCTAACAAAGAAGCTTGCAGTGGAAAAAGCCATGCGAACCCTAAATCTTACGGACGAACCAAGTCAGATAAACCGCGACGGGTGAAGACAACCGAAGATACAAATTCCAAACGTAAAAGTTATCATCAAAGCGAATCGGATAGCTCGAAATGGATGGTTGTTCCGGAGAAATGGGAGAATGTTGAAGAAGAATCTGGAGAGTTCTCGAAGATGTCGAACGAGGAGTTGAACAGAAGGGTCGAAGACTTCATCCAACGGTTCAACAGACAGATCAGATTACAATCACGAGTTTCGTCTACTTGATTTGAATCGCTAATAGTAGGACAAAACTAGTAAGGACCTTTTTTTTGGCTTTTTATTAAGGACTTGGTGATGGGAAGACTATTTTTGCAGTCGTCGGTGTAAAGTATGATAGATATGTAATATAATAGCTTAATTCCAAAAGAACCAAATAATGTTGGTACATATATAACTTGTGTCTACATTTGAATGGAAGAATTATATTTATTTAGTTTTCTCATACACCAAAGTTCTCAATTAGATACCTCATATTCAATTTCGATATAGAGAATATATGAAATGTTAAATTTAGTGGGCCTGTATGGGGCATCACACTTAAGGCCCATATATTACCTCCAACTTTCCGTATATTAGTGAATTCGTTAAGATCAGTTTTTGGTAAAAGATGTGGGTTCGATTGCCCGACAATATATATAATTAACGATGATGAATAAAATAACGATTGAAAAAAGTGCGGAAGATATGAAAATGACTCGAAGATAAAAGAGCCAATGAGTAATGGTGATGTTGGATTCGGATCAGATGTTTGAAAACATATTTATAAATAAAGGACCACAAAATAATTATTTACAAAGTTATATGATATCAATGATGGCAGAAAGGTATCATCGTTAGTTATGAGTTTCTCCGATAAATATTCAAAGTCAAATATGTCATTGGAGGTGACTCAGAAATGTAAGCATCTCTTAATATATGAAAGTATACATCCTCTAGTTTTGGTTGGTACGTAATTATATCGACTTCCTCTTATAATGTAGAAATAATCGTACATGCAAAACTATTAAAAGTCCACAAATAGCTTTCAAAACATTGATTTTTTCTTCTTGAAAAACAAACACAACTAAAAAATTTCAAGGCTTCGAGTAAAGGAGAATTGACAATGAATATGTGATTCAGCGAAAACTAAAGAAGGAAAATTACAATACAGGCTATAGACAGTCAAATCGATAACACAACACAAGAGTATAAAGAACTGCTCTTTTTTATTAGATTTAGAAACTTAACTCAAAACTAAACCTCTCTTATGTCTTGTAGAACATCTCTCCACAAGCTCTCTATTTATAGATCTAAGCTACTCCTTAATCTAATAGGAATCACATAATCTATCTAGATACAACTTTATCTAAATTTTATTATTGAATCTTTTTCTTAATCTCTCTAAGCTTCTCCTTAGGAGATAACTTCTCACAGAAGATATTGGAATTATCCAACATTCATCCTCTTAATTCCAACTTGAATTTTGGGTGGTTCGATTTCTTCAACTCCAATCAAGCTTCTCATTTCCTTGAGCTTGATCCTTGCTAACGGCTTAGTGAGGATGTCTGCTTTCTGTTCTGTTCCGGGTACATGCTCCACTTCTATCTGTTCATTCTCGACACAGTCCCGAATAAAATGATACTTCTTGAGAATGTGCTTGCTCCTTCCATGGAACACTGGATTCTTGGTAAGAGCAATAGCTGACTTGTTATCTATTCGAAGTACAACCTTCTCGTCTACTCCTTGTATCTCGTTAAACAGTTTCTTAAGCTATATTGCTTGCTTTGCTGCTTCTGTTGCCGCCATGAACTCTGCTTCGCATGATGATAATGCGACTGTAGGCTGCTTTTGTGAAGTCCAAGTAATCGGTGATGAGCCAAGGTAGAAAACGTGACCTGATGTACTTCTTCCGTCGTCCACATCGATGTTGTGGCTGCTGTCACTGTATCCCACGATTCGCCTTGCTCCATCCCTCTTGAAAAATAGTCCTAGGTTAGTAGTTCCCTTTACATATCTCAAGACGTGTTTCAGTGCTTGTCCGTGACTTTCTCTCGGACTCTGCATATAACGACTTAGGACTCCAACAGAAAACGCCAAGTCAGGTCTTGTGTGAAGTAGATATCGTAAACATCCTATAGCTCTCTTGTATTCCGTAGCATTGATCTCAGGTTCGTCCTCTGCTTTGGACAATTTTAAACCAGACTTCATTGGTACATGAGTCAAGTTACAATTGTCCATCTTAGTATCAACTAAGATTCCTTTAACATAGCCTTCTTGTTTTATCCTGATCCCATCTGATCCCTGAATCACCTCTATGCCAAGGTAGTAAGTTAGCTTCCCTAAATCTGACATCTCGAATTTCCTTGACATGTTGTTCTTGAATTGTTCAATGATTGTTTGTGATGATCCTGTTACGAACAGATCATCTACATAAATCGCTACAATCAAGATATCCTTTGTAGTCTTCTTGAGATAGACAGAAGTTTCTTTTAAGCATCGCTTAAAGCCCATCTCCTTTAATACATAATTCAGCTTCACATTCCAAGCTCTAGGAGCCTGTCGCAGACCATATAGTGCTTTATAAAGTCTGTAAACTCGACCTTCCTCTCCTTTCTTCTCAAAACCTTCAGGCTGGCTTACATAGACAAGTTCGCTTAGATCCCCGTTTAAGAATGCTGTCTTGACGTCCAGATGGTGTATTTCCCAGCCTTGTGTTGCTGCTAAGGCGATGAATAACCGAATTGTTTCGAGTCGTGCTACTGGTGCGAACACTTCGTCGAAATCAATCCCGTGCTGTTGTACATAACCTTTCGCAACAAGCCGCGCCTTGTATTTATTCACCGTGCCGTCTGCATTTCTCTTTACTTTGTAGACCCATTTCAAACCTATCGGTTTTACTCCAGCCGGTTTATCAACTAACTCCCAAGTTCCGTTTTGGATGATAGAATCCAACTCAGCTAACATTGCGTCAACCCATTCACGCAGCTCTGCAGCTTCGAGATAGCTTTCAGGTTCTCCATCAACTGTAAGCAGAAGTCTTTCGCCCTCTAGATCTGCAAACATGACATAATCACTAAGATATGTCGGAAGACTAACTTTACGACCATATCTAGTGAAAACTGGTTCTGGATCCGCTTCAGGGTTCTCGTGATTCTGTCTGTTATCCCCTTCTTCATTGTTTTGATCAATTTGATCATGCACTTGATTCTCATCCAAATTGTTCTGAATGTGATTCTGTCGTTCTGCTTCTTCAGGACCATATTGTGGTAGTGTGAACATGCCAGGTTTACCGTCTATCTCGTTCCTCAATGTAGACCAATCCCATGCTCTGTTTTCTTTGAAAACCACATCTCTGCTCACCGTTACTTTCCTAGTTAACGGGTCATAAAGTCTATAAGCTTTGGAACCCGACTCTATTCCTAGATTAATCACACTCTTTGACCAGTCTTCTAGCTTCTTAAGGTGCGGACCTATTATTTTCGTGTGTGCCACACATCCGAAAACTCTTAGATGATCGACCCTCGGTTTCTTCCCCGTGAACGTCTCATATGGAGTTTTGTCTTTCAACGCTTTTGACGGAACTCTGTTAATTATATATGTCGAGTGCCTCACAGCTTCACCCCACAGAAAATTTGGAATTTTCATTCCCTTTAGAACGCTTCTAGTCATACCCATTAACGTTCTATTTCTTCTTTCCACAATGCCATTCTTTTGTGGTGTGTACGGTGCTGTAAGATGTCTCGTAATCCCATTCTCTTCACAGAATCGATTAAACTCAGCTGATGTGAACTCTCCTCCTCTATCGGTTCGAAAGGTTTTCAGCGTTAGACCTGTTTGCTGTTCGACAAGTCTCTTAAAACCTTTGAATCGATCAAAAACTTCACTCTTTTCTTTTAACAGCAGCGCCCACATGTATCTTGAGAAATCGTCAATTAAGACAAAAACGTAATGGTTATTTGCGGGTGTTGGCGGAGATATCGGCCCACACAAATCTCCGTGTACTAACTCAAGGGCTTGTGTCGCACGGAACGAAGTTTTGATCGGGAATGACGCTCTTATTTGTTTTCCCGAGAGGCACGCCTCGCAAACATCTGTCTCGTGTAAGCCTTTAGGCATGCCTTCTACCATCTCCTTCCTTATCATATTAGCCATTACTCCATAGCTTATATGACCTAGCCGCGAGTGCCATGTTCGTGTAAGGTCTTCGGTTTGTATTTGGAGACACTTAGGATAGTCAATCTCCATAGGTGTCTTGTAGAGTCGATTTGGTGCCCTTTTAACTCTCACAAGTAACCTCCCGTGTGGATCCTTTAGCGACAGCGTGTCGCCTTTCATGTGCACCTCACATCCATTCTCGGTTGCTTGTCCGAGACTCATTATGTTGTGCTTCAGATCTGGTATAAAGTAGATGTCTCTAAGTGCTCTTTTCTCGCCTGTCCTTCCGATGAATACGATGGTGCCTTTTCCCATAATCTCAACATTAGATCCATCACCAAACTTCACTTTCCATTTGATCTTTTCATCTAGTGTTGAGAAGTATTCTTTATTTCCTGTCATGTGGTTACTTGCACCATTGTCAAGGTACCATATGCTCGTCTTGTTGTCGCAGGCATCGTAGCGTTTAGGAAACACCTTATTTTCATTCAAGAACACTAATTTATGAATGTATAAGGCTTCTGGTTCCTCTGTTTTGTTCAGATTTGCTTCTTGGTGTTTCCCAGTTCTTTCTGTGTTCTTTCGCAGTTCAGGACAAGACGATACATAATGTCCGTGTTTATCGCATCTCCAACATATTATCTTGCTCAGATCCTTTTTCTGTCTTTGATCGCTTTGTCCGCTCTCTCCTGAGTTCCTGTTTGATCGTCCGCGACCTCTGCCTCTACCTCCTCCTCTCGGTCTTCCTCGCAAGCCACCATAGCCTCCACGGTTGCTCTGTTCACCACGGTTGCTCTGATCGTTGTTGGTCCACATAAGCTTGCTTTGTTCATCGATTTGTGACCCCTCACCTACACGTTCCTCATAGGCCTTTAATCTCACCCACAATATCCTCAAACCCAGTTTTATTTAGGTCTAAGACTTGTTCTAATGAAGCCACAATCTGTATATATTTGTTTCTCGAAAGTCCTTTCAAGAACTTCTTCACCATCTTCGGTTCTTCAATGGTGTCTCCTAAGGAAGCTGCCTTCGATGCAAGTCCTGATATTCTTCCGGCAAAGTCGTCAACGGAATCAGTATCGTTCATTGTT